CTCGGCTTTTTCCGTAAGAATTTTACATTGATTCTTTGTGATAAATGATTGCACACGCTGAAAAGGATGTACATTATCAGAACGGCGTACCATACCTTCGGGGTAAACAAATTCCACATCCAAGTATACACGTGTGTCATTTTTTGATGTATATACAATTTATGACTGTATACAAGAATTCATTCATATCAGTTTTTGCTTGCATATGTAATTTCGGCTTGTTTTCTGGTATCGTCGAACTTAAGAAGTAATTGACATTACTTGGAACGAAATCACATTTGAACCGTTTCAACTTGCCCAATTTTCCATAACGGAACGGTGATTTGCATGATATGAGGTCGAAGGCCGCCAGTGATTTCAACCCTCGATAATACGTCCGTTCCATTTTTTTGTATTGCACTTAGCAATCCGAAGTTGTAAGTGTTATTGGCATCCCTTGTCCCTAGAGACGTCTCGTCCGATTTAATCGGTTTTAATCTGGAATAATTTATGTCCCCGTAATTTTTATACGTGATTTCACGTGAAAGTCGTTCATTTACGTGAAATTCAAGTGTTCTGATAATGTATTCCAAATCTCGCCGATAACGCCGGTCACTTCAGTTCCATTATTTTTTGAATTGACGATGTTCCATTCCTAAGGATAAAAATATTAAACGATAGAATGCGATTAATACGCGACGGGTTTCAATCATTCCATGTATATACATAGTTTATTTCTTATTCGACCGTAGATTTCAAATTAATGTCGATTGCATTTCATCATTATTTTACGGAGTAAAAACTTGCTATTTGGTTCAATAATTCACCTCAAAGTAAGTGTGTCGGACTATTCTTCCTTGAAAGTTGTGCGTCTCCTCTTTCCAACTACGCACGAGCACATCCTGTTTCGCGAATGTGAATGCCGAGACGCTGAAGATCGGCACGAAATCTTGGATTTTCTTATCCCATATCACACCGTTCACCGATTCCGCCGGATTAAAAGATTGAAGAATCGCCACGAACAATAGTAGTTTTCTCATAAATAGACTGCGGTTTTTTACGCCAAATAAAACATTCATGACGGTCGAGTAAAAATCAGTCTGAACTCACTCCGTTATTTTATATAGCTTTATACTCCCGTTTCTATTTTCTATACATTCGGTATTTTTACAAACGCATCGAATTCGCAGTCTACTCATGTAAGGCAAGTCTTTTCTGACTGCGTTCGTTCCGCTCGCACGAGAAATTCACAACGGTTCGTTCTCACTTTTAACAGCAGCTTGTTTCTGGATCGTAATCAGATTTTTTAGTATGACACATCGCAGTTTTGATGATACGCGATTATATCTGTTTCCTGTAGCTAAAATTATCGGAGCAGTTTATCGAATGCACGCTAGAGAGATCATATTTACTGATTTTGTCAGAACAGTACCGAGCCTTAAGCAAATGTACTGATTAAAAATAATTCGAAA